AAGTGATAGTATTTAGGAGGTGCAAAACTCAATTTTATATGTCAAGAACACGAATTTTGCATAGATATCTGTCATGATCTAGTTTTTTAAGCAACACGTGCTTTGTTACCAGTTTATGAAAATAATAAGGCGGATTCTAATAGTGCAGTGACTGACTGACTGCACCCGTGCCGTCTCCAATCAACCGACTATTGCCGGTTGTCTTTTTTTCCCCCCAAATATTGCAGGTTGTCTCCCCTCTTTCGGTTTTTTTATGGCATATATTGCTCTATGAAAAAAATAAAAAGCCAAAACATCTTCAACGGGTTCCATTTGTTTCAATTATTTTAGTTATGGCGTTTTAATAAAATTTAGTGTATACAATGATGTTATAGTGCATCAACAATAAAATTAAGAGTATAAGGTGTATTTTAATGTTAAAATAATTTAGACCTGATAGTCGGTTTCAGTTAACAGTTTAATTAATTATCGAATATGGTTTAATTGATAGTCAATTATCCAAATGATTTGATTTCCCGTAGTAAAAAAATGGATAACGATTAGGTGTGAACAAACAACATTGAAAACGGTCCCAACTATTTAACAACCCAAACTGACATACCAAGAAAAACCAATTTTACTTGTGGATGCGGATTAGAATTTTTGAAAACCATAGAATTGTGGTTGAGTATGGGTTTTTATGGTTACAAACCGAGAGTACCCAAACTAACCCGTAATACTACATTATAGATCAAAGTCTTATAAATTATATATATAATCCTTTGATCTACATGTCATATGTCTAGATAGTATTGATAAATTATAAAGTTTAATTCATCAAAACTTTCACTTAAATAAAATATTATTTGAATTCTTTGATTGGACTTCCATCTAACCCGATCCAAACCATTTCTCAAGAAATTTGTATGATTATGAAATTAATGGGTGGATTTGGGTTTAACATAATTAAACTTAGTGATGGCAATGGGACGGGGTTGGGCGGGTACCTTAATACCCATACATCTCCCATGCTATTATTGGTCAGGGCCGGTAATACCCTCCCGGATACGGGGCAGGTCGACCGACCCACTTTGACATTTTATATGATAAAAATACACGTAATATTTTTAACGATGAAACGAATGGGAAAACACTTTATGAATGAAGAATAGTGATAATAGAATGGGTAATTAACTCAACTAGTTGAAAAATTAAATCTAACTAGCTGAACAAAAGTAAAAAAAAAATATGAATAGGTACGGTTAGAAATCGAGATAGAATGGGCCAAGAACGTGGCGGGGCAAGGTGGGTTGGAAGTAGATACCATACCCCGCCCCACGCTTGCGGGTCGGGTAATACTCGCCCCATCGCTGGTCAGGTCGGGTAATACTAGACGGGACGAGTTCAAATTGTCATCCCTAATTAATTCAACCCATGATTAATTGGTTGTGTTGTTAAAATTCTCAATACCCGCCCAACTGACCTATGTATACCCACATTAAAAAATAATGAGTAATCGACTAATCAATTATGAGTATAAGTTTATAACTGAACTGAACCAAATATCACCCTCACTAAACGTCATAGTAATTTTTTAAAATTTTAAAATTTTGATAGTTAATTTGCTATTTTCAGTATCGGATTTAGGTACGACGAATATTAATGTTACCGTGGATTGCACGATTGTGTTGGAAACAATAAAAAGTGTGTTTAAGATTTATAGAATTTGAAAATCGATCGTGGAGGAGGCTTGGCTGGTATTTTGTTAAAATTATAAAATTTGGCTAATATTTTCTTAGAATAGAATGGTGTGAATTGGAGTTGAAGAATGGGAAGAAGGAGTCTTCGACCCTCGATAGAGGATGATTTTGGCTAATAACTATATTATTAGAAAATAAATTAACCCACTTTTGCAAAATCTGACGTGGCAGCTAATGTGGAATATCGTCAAAGATTTACTAACGATAATATATCAAACACTAACATTTATAATTTTATAAAGGTTTATGAGTGAGCCATGTAGATAACAAATTGACAGGTTTCACCGAAACGACTGGGTAGCCCAGTTTCAAGAAATTGTAGATTATTATTCTTGAATTGGTTAATATTTTGTATTTTAAATTTTTGACGAATATTTTGCCAACGCTAGAATTTTTTTTGGCTAACATATGTAATTGCCTTTTTAGTTATAAAAATGATTAGCTTTTGTATATAGTAGAATGAGAAACAATTTGTGTTGTGGATTATAAGATTTTTAATGTTATATTGTTCATGCAATTTTAGAATTCCGGTCTCTCGTTCTACCAAAATTATAGCATATCTATATACAAATAACCATTTTCATTTTTCTTTTTTTTTTTTGTGCAACCATTTTCATTTTTCTAATAGAATCATAGAAAATTTTAGTCTAATTACACCAAAAAAGAAATTATTATAACCATCTACCCAAATATTACACTAAGCCACTTACCTTTATACAAATAACCATTTCCATTTTTCCAGTGGCGAGGACTTGTTTTGGATTGGATTCTTTTCATAGAGCAATATCCAACAATTAAAAAAGAAAACTAAAAAGGGAGGACAACCGGCAATATTCGGTGGATTGTGAACCGTGAACGGCATGGATGCAGTCGTTTTGCTATAATTGAATATCCCTATCCCTTTTTCGGTTTTTTATTTTATGTATCTCTATTTTGGGTACAACTCATTATTAGTCACTGATGACAGAATAACCAGTAATTTTACATAAAATAAAAATCCACTGAATAGGATCGTAGTGAATAATTAACTATTATTAGCCATCGCTTATCAGTTTCCAATTTCCATCAAATAATGCGTTGCACCAGTGTCTCTGGTAAAAAAAATTAAAATAATAATAACTCAGGTCACTCTCGTGGTGCTTTAGATTGTAAAAATTCATTTATATTAGTTTAGTGGGAGCGGTTACGGTGCTAATTGTACAATAGTTAGCATCGTCCTAACCAAGGAAAAAACTGCTACTAATTTGAATTAGTAGTGATTTAGCTTAGATGTTGTATTGATTTTATAATAATCCGTAGTGATTTCGTTATTTTTAGTAGTGTTTTTTGCTAGTTATCACGGAGGGTTAGCACCTAATCCCATCCCTATCCCTAGTAGTCCCGCAATAAAACCTGATTACTGGTACGGAGATCTAATTAGTAATTATTATTTACGTAAAATCAATTATTAGATACGTTGTTTGGTACTTCTCTTCTCAGTTCTCACTGTCACGGAACTAGCCACTAGCCAGCAGCAACAAACAATACCGAAGCCCACCTTTTGTTCACCTTCTTCTTCTTCTTCTTCCTCCTCTCATATATCATTATCCAGCGCCTTTGGCTCTTCGGAATCTCTGACCTTCAACCTTTTGCTGGATCCCCAGAGAACCTTTCCCTGCCCCCACCCCCAATTCAATCATTTTCAAGAATTCCCAATTCCGTCCTCCCAAGATTCGCGATCCACTTTTTTCTCGGAAACCAATCAGGAGCCACAACAATCACCGGAAAGGACAAAATCTTTTCAATTCTCCTTTCCGCCCCCGATTCTCCAGCTCCTCCCCGTCTCTCGATCGGACTGTTTTGAGGTACTGTGAATTGTTCGTATTCGGCCGGATTTCCGTCGCCTTGCTCTCTCGTGTTGTTTTCTGCACCATTCCGTTTTGCCGCTTCTCCATTGCATTTGATGTTTCGTGCGTGCGAGCTTCTCCGTAGTTCGTCGTCGGAGTGATTTTCTTCCTGCTTGCCGTTCCATCGTCTGTTTGGTTGCTGAGAAAATTCGTTTTTGTTTTTTCTTCTAACTTTTGTACTCTGGTGATTTGGATGGAGCATGAGCTCGATTCGGTTGCCCCCTCTCTCTTTTTAGTTCCATAGAATTCTCCGTGGGAAGTTCTCGCTTCCTCTGTAGTTTTCCTCTCTACCTAATGGACTCGTATAGCAGCAACCGAATGGAGTAAAGAGCGGTCTATATCGTATCTTGAGGACCTTCGCCGTAATTGAATTTCAATTCCAGAACTTAGTAGCTCAACCATATCTCATTTCAGAACTTGCGGATGTGAATCTTTTCAACTCTTTTGTTACGTTATTCAAAGTTTTGTAGCTCTTTGGATATGACTGAGATCAGGACTGTGATGGAGGGATTTGATACCCGGCGCCTGCCTAGTCAAATTTGAGCCGTTTGCATTAAACTAACTTGAGTGGCTTGAGTCTATAGGGTCAAATGGGAAACCACGCCGCCTCAGACCTGTTTAGGTTGGTGCCTTGAGGGTGAAGGGTAGTGTAAAAAAAAAAAAAAGGAGAAAAGAGATAGGTTTTGCTTTCTTGGAACCCTGACTTCCCGTGGAAGAACTCATGTCATTTTTTATGTCCTTCGAGTCAACTGCCCTTTTATCTGTTGATCTCTAGAAGTTGAAAAAGTTTCCAAAATGACCTTAAAGTTTACAACTTGGACTTGCGCTATACTACTTCCTCTCATATGATCATTTGTATTTTATAGGCAGCATGTGCTTGAGCTGATGGGCATGTCTTTGTTTGTAGTAGTTGGCAGTTGGCACATGATTCTGGGTGCTTTAACCTGATTGCAAGTTCTGCCTTTCTGATATGCCATACACTGGTGTTTCTACATGTTGATGTCTTGCTTAATGTGCAGCTACAACCTAATGAAAACTTATATATACTGGAGACTACTTTCTCGCTTTTGGTATGCTTTAATTTTCTCCAGTTAAAAGAACGCAACACTTTTGGACAGTAGGCTATGTATTTGTATGAGGATTCCTAAGAGGCAGAGAAAAACTCAGAAGTCTTAGCTTGTGTTAAGTATTTATTAAAGAATCAGCTACACCACACGATAGGGTGAGATGTTAGGCTGATTGTTAATTTGTTATGTTTAATTATCTGGTTCACAAGAATAGAGTAACCTCTTGTTATTACAAAGCAGGTTGTGACACTCATATCATTGATGTCTTTCTCTTATTCAGGTCTTGTCACTCTCTTTCATAGGTGAAGATGGTTGCCTTTGGGAAAAAGCTTAAGGAAAGGCAAATTCAAGAATGGCAAGGGTACAGATCAGTTCACATACTTTCATGTTGATGAAGTTTGTTTTATTTCAATGAATTTTATTGAGAAGTTACATCACTATAATTTTCTGTTTGGAGAGTGAAAATGAAGGACTCATTTCTTCCTTTTGACAACTTTGGTACCTGAAGTCATTCTCTTATGTCAAAAAGTTTGCAAGGGTGACAGAACTAACTCTGTTTAGTTCTTAAACACTGTGGTTAATCTTTTTTTTTATGTGATTTCATATCATGTCTGTGCATTCTGGTACCTATTAGGAGTGTATTTCTCTTTGAGGGCTTAAAGGTTTCCAATTTATTTCTGTATTGAAATTTGCCAAGAAGCGCCCTTACCTCTTCTGATCTTTTTGTTTCCTGATGGAGTTGTTTTTTACTTTACAGATACTATATTAACTACAAATTAATGAAGAAGAGAGTGAAACAATATGGCCACCAAATTGAAGTTGGAACACTAGACCGGCGCCATGTTCTCAAGGACTTCTCAAGAATGCTTGATTGTCAGGTACATGTTAAAACACAAGTGACTAATATCTCGAAGTGTTTCTAAAGACTGGAAACTTTATGCTTCTCGTAATGGCGATCTTTGTGTAAAATTTAGATAGTGTATCCATTGATCTACTGTTATTTCAGATTGAAAAGATTGTCCTGTTTCTGTTGGAGCAACAAGGGCTACTTGCAGGCAGGATAGCCAAGCTTAATGAAGATCAGGATGCACTACAACAAGAGCCTGATATAGCTAAGCTATCCCAGTTGCGGGAAAATTATAGAGATGTCGGGAGAGACCTCTTGAAGCTACTTTTCTTTGTTGAAATTAATGCTGTGGGCCTGCGTAAAATCCTGAAGAAGTTTGATAAGCGTTTTGGATATCGATTCACTGATTACTATGTGAAGACTCGAGCTAATCATCCTTATTCCCAGCTTCAGCAAGTGTTCAAGCATGTGGTAATATGCCAAACTCAAAGGCATTGTCATATGATTCTGCCAAGAGATTGATTTTATTTATCCAAAGTTGGACTTTGCTTCCCATATGAGTATTGTTTGACTAATTACTAGAATTACAGGGTCTTGGAGCTGTTGTTGGAGCCATATCCCGCAATCTTCATGAACTTCAGGAACATCAAGGAAGTTTCTTATCCATCTATGATCAACCTGTGCTTCCACTTCAGGTTATTGTTTGCATCATTCTGTTTATGATGAGTTTGTGATAGCTCTCACAAGGTCAAAGACTAACAGTAAACGTATCTGTTAGCAGGATTCTGTTGTTGATGCCATGAAAGCAGCAGTTGACCGATTAAGCCACTCAACCAACTTCTTGAACTTCTTGGCACAACATGCACTTATTATGCAAGAAGAACTCCCAACCCCCACTGAGGAAGTCGTTGATGATAAGAGATACCATTTTATGTCTCTTATCTTGAATCTAGCGAACACATTCCTTTATATGATCAACACCTATATCATAGTACCCACAGCAGATGACTATTCCATGAGCCTTGGTGCACCAGCAACAGTTTGTGGTATTGTGATTGGGTCGATGGCTGTTGCTCAAGTGTTCTCCTCAGTATACTTCAGTGCTTGGTCAAATAGATCATACTTCAGACCTCTTGTCTTCAGTAGTATCGCTCTTCTCATTGGGAACGTCATGTATGCAATGGCTTATGATTCCAAGTCAATAACAATACTTTTGTTAGGCCGACTTTTCTGTGGGTAAGATTCCTACAACTCCTGAAATAATACCATACTATTTATGTTTAGCATTGCTATTGGACTATCATTCATCTAACTTGGCTCAAAGGGCTACGAGGCATAAAAGGTAGAAATTACATTGTGATGTTTTTTCTGTAATGAAGGGGATCACATTATTTATTTAAGCAACATAAAGGTCATTTAGTTGAAGTGATGTTATCATGGCAAGTGATGCCTTATTGCTTTGATTTAAAGTAATCTTCTTTTACGGCAGGTTGGGTTCTGCTAGAGCTGTGAACAGACGTTATATCAGTGATTGTGTGCCACTTAAGATCCGTATGCAAGCTTCAGCAGGTTTTGTTAGTGCAAGTGCTCTCGGGATGGCCTGTGGCCCAGCTATTGCTGGCTTACTTCAAACAGAGTTTAAAATCTACAAGTTCACCTTCAATCAGAACACTTTGCCAGGCTGGGTTATGGCTGTGGGTTGGTTCTTTTATATGATATGGCTGTGCATCTCATTCAGAGAACCTTCTCGCCCAACTCAAGAGACCAGGGCAGATCCACAAACCAGTGATGGTACCACTTCTCCCTGTTCTGTGTATTTTATAGGTGGTGTCACGGTCTTTTTGTCTCAATCTAACCTAGTGGCTCTTATATCTTTGGCCGGTTATCATGGTAGATGGTAGTTACTTGTTCTCTGTATATTGTATCAATAAACAAGCTTATAACCGATGATTATGCAATTCTGTAACTTCAGATTGTGAATCTAAATTATTAATCATGGGGTAAATGTAAAGCTTGCGTGAGTGAACTACATGCTACGAGGAACTTTATGGAAGGATAAACTAAATGTCAAGTTTTTTTTGTAGATTCTTAACTTGCGATTCGAGCTTACTTTCTCCAATGAAGCTGTTTCCTACAACTTGAAAAATCGAATTTATTTGTTTTCTGTTACTAAAGCTCCAGTCGATTTGTATTTTGCTAGGTTTCGGCTGTAATAATCTACTGTTTTCTGAATTTTGCTGATTTGAAGTTTTTTTCAAGTTAAGGCTAGGATTAGCAGCAGCAGCAGCAGTAGAAATCATTTGCAATGCCACTAATGGAATGTGTAGTAATTTAAAGGGAGATTGATTTGAAAATGCCCAAAGGAATATATATACAATATTTCTTTTACTACACCAAATACAATACATACAAAACCTTTTGTTTTAATTTCAACTTAATTAATTCATAAGTTGAAACAAACAACCCCTTTATGCTTTACTCTTTGGTCCTTGGACTCTCCGTGAGATTTCAAGTTAAGCTGCTATGTTCTATATCTTCGCTTTTTGCAATATCTTGTTTGTTGATAATAATTATCTTTGGTGTGGAAAACAGAACCAGCGAGAAACGATGCTCTTGAGAAAGGTCTTCAACAGCCATTGCTACCAAGTACAGAAGCCAATCAAGATGATGAAGATTGTGGGAGTGATGATGAATCTGATGATTCTAGAGGACCAGCTAATTCAATTCGATCTGCATATAGGCTGCTTACACCTTCTGTAAAGGTATGGCAAATGAGAGCTCTATACTTCATGAATCTATCTATTAGTCCGTTTGAATATCATAATTGATCGTTTGATATTCCTTTCATGAATTGCAAAAAAACAGGTTCAATTGTTAATATACTTCATGTTGAAGTACGCCATGGAGATTTTACTATCAGAGTCTAGTGTCGTGACCACATACTACTTCGGCTGGTCTACTAGCTCAGTGGCAATATTTCTCGCCTGCTTAGGCCTCACTGTCCTTCCTGTGAATATCGTAGTTGGAAGCTATATAAGTAACATGTTCGAAGATAGGTATAAGCCCGTCCATTTTTCTGTGATTTCTGAGATTGAGTATCTCTGTGATAGCAGCACAAAACATCATTCTGATTGCCATTTATCGTTGATCCCATTGGCAGGCAAATCTTATTAGCATCAGAGATCATGGTTTTTGTGGGCATACTCCTAAGCTTCCACATATTAGTTCCGTACAGCGTGCCACAATACGTCTGCTCAGGTCTCATTATGTTCGTCTCTGCAGAAGTACTCGAAGGTAAAAGTAGTCTACTCCCCTGCAATGTGAATTCAGTACCCTAGGTGATAAATTGTGCAACTTGGTGACTCACTGCATTCTTCTTCCAGGCGTCAACTTATCGTTGCTCTCTCGAGTCATGTCGTCGAGGCTCTCACAGGGGACGTACAACGGTGGGCTACTCTCGACAGAGGCAGGTACGTTAGCTCGTGTGGTGGCGGATGTAACGATTACCATGGCAGGTTACTTGGGGCAGAAAACACTGCTGAATGTGACTCTTCTGCCTTCTCTGATCATTTGCATAACTTCCATCCTCGCCACATGCTTCACCTACAATTCGCTGTATTGATTTTGTTAGACTTGAATGTATTCCATTAGTAAAGCCAAGCAGCCAAATTTTCGTCTTTCTCCGCCTAAAGCTCCTGTGATTAGGAAGCTTTGTTCTTCTTCCCGTGCTTCTGTGTTGGATCAGTCAGTCGCCTGTATATTTGTTTAGAAACCCAGCTCCATTTATTTAATAATTTTTCTTAATAAAAAGGTAATGCTCGCCCACTCCTACTTGTACAGAGAGCCTGGACTCAGTTAATCTCTTTACTCTTGCCATCCACACAGATACAATTTTGTAATAAACATTTCTCGAACCAAATGACCTTGCCATGGTATAACAGTAGTTGAAATAAGAGCAACCCTAACCCACATCCTGCTACCTCTGGCATAAGTAGTTGGAGTTATTTACTGTGATTTGATTTTGGCAGAAACCCTACCAAGTTACATCGTTGGCCCCCAAAATTTTTTTTTAAACCTATATAGCAGTTGAATCATTGTTCATTACCCTTCTCACTTTGTATCTAATTATTTACTGCTTTCTGTGACCATCCCCACAATACAAAATTATCGCCGCTGCAGATTTTCGATACGAATCTAGAGAAAGCAGTTGTATGGCTTTAAATTTGGAAAGAAAAGGAGGTGCAAACTAGGTTACAACTAAACCAGGTTTATGAGTGGGATTAGCATCTAATACTACGCCTCTTGGATAGGAAGAGAGTCCCACCCTCCAAACAATTAACAATCCTCCAACACCCACCCACCCATATATCCATCCACCTCCCTTTCTTTACAACTTCCAACTAATCTTCCCTTCAACTTAGGGACAGTGGGGGAGCAAAAACCAACCAGTATTAACAAAAAAAATTGCGGCTAATTTGCTTCCTCTCCTCCCATTCTCCTAACCATCTTGTTTGATGTTTTTAGTGTCAAACAAGAAAGGAAAGTTAAACACCATTTATGCACATTCACAAACACTTTCCTAGTTTTGGACCCATTTCCCCAATCATTAAGCCGAGTATTTGGTACCCAGCACAGACAAAAACTCGTAGCAGCCGTCTAAATAGTTTGCACACAACACACACACACTCCTTTCTTCCAAGTTTGCATATATAAAAAGGCCAAGCACAACAAGCAAAGAGAAGCAAGAAACTCTGTTTTCTCATACCTTAACTGAAGCATCAGCATATTACAGCAGTATGGTTGGCCGTCGGAGTTCTCCCTCTGTTGCTTACTTCCTTGCAACTCATGCTCTCTTCTTCTTCCTTGCCTGCCACCTCACCGCCTCGCAGCAAGGTACATGTCTGTACATCCTACAAATTTCATCGAACATACGCAAGTTTTTCGATATGACATCAATGTTATAAGTTTTCATATTTTGTTTTCTCGTAACATTTACGATATAAGATGCTTAGTTGAACGAACCGTTAGTTAATAAATTTTGTTGAATGTTTAGGAAAAATTGTACGAACGATTCCATCACATGGCTATATATATAAAGTCATCCATAGTCTCGTTTTAGTCAGCTGAATGTTGCGCTAATTCCGAACTCGTATTGAATAAAGCAGATCGGAACTACAGTTTCGTTCGCGACGCGAGGACGGCGCCGGAGATATCGTACTACGACTACATCATCGTGGGAGGAGGCACGGCAGGGTGCCCGTTGGCGGCGACGCTTTCCCAAAACGCTACCGTTTTGGTCCTGGAACGCGGCGGCTCTCCCTACGGGGACCCGAACATCACCTACTTGGCCAACTTCGGGGCTCCGCTCGCCGACGCCTCCCCTTCTTCACCTTCCCAGCGCTTCATTTCCGAGGACGGCGTCATCAACGCCAGAGCCCGAGTCCTCGGCGGCGGTTCTTGCCTCAACGCCGGCTTTTACTCCCGCGCCGAAGCTGATTACATCAGGTAATCAAATAATATCATCGACCATTAATCACGTTTGTAACTTACCCTAACGAAACATTAGTTTGTAAAAATTTCATATTTGCTCTTTTTTTAACTCTTACCGTCTAGGTGGAAGCTAGAAATGTATGTCACACACCATAATATAATCTTAGTGCATATCTCCGCGATTAAACTTATATGCAAATCGATATTAATCAGACTAATTGAATTGCACAAATAAGAATAAAAAATATTAGTTCATGATGTGTTTTTTATAAATAAAATAATAAATAAAAATAAAATTGTAAATAAGAAAATACATAATTCGTACAGGTTAAAAAAGTCCATGATGTGTTTTTATATTCGAAAAAAATTGTAGAATACACTTGATGTCTACAGTGTTAAAAAACATGGTCTCTAAATACCTCACTAGACAATCATTCACGAATTTATCGCATATTCGATTTGTAAACTTGCTCTTGATGTAACCCAAAGCTGAAAGACTCTTTCAATACTTACCTTACAACCATAAAATCAGTACAAATTAAGGGTAGCTTGAAATTAGTTTAATTGTTAGGTTTTGAAAATAAATAGAGTTAGGAAATGACATTTTACTATTACACAGTGTTCAAAATCGAACAACAAATGAGTTGTAGTTTAATGAAAATTAAGTTTATTAATAATAATAATAATAGTGTTTTAGGTTTGAATTACCCAACCTACCACTTATATTCTCATACACAAATTTAAAAAATGACAGTAGAATCATCATTTTTCAATTTCAGGGGTATCTCTCACTATCAATTATAAATTTTTTGACCATATGTAAATTACCATCGGAGGTTGAATAATCATTTCCCCGAAATTTAGGGGTCCCCTGGGTCCGCCCCTATCCTGTCTGAATACTTTAAACTCAATAACTCTAATGTTGAAGGAACATCCACTATTGATAGTATCACTAAATCATACTCGTATTCACAATTTCACATAGCGATTATTCTTACATGGTAAAAAAGATCGAACCTTTAGGCCACATTCAGCTAAAAATGGACCGAATCTTAGAAAAGATTCGCGGAAGGTAGAAATAAATGGGCTGCTTCTGCTCATTCAATTCAATTGAATGCTTGGTCAGGTCACGGGGCCGTACAATTTTTGGGTTAATGACTTTTGTTTTGTTTGTGTGTGTGGCAGGGATGTGGGGTGGAACAGTGAGCTGGCGAAGCAGTCGTACGAGTGGGTGGAGAAGAAGGTGGCCTTCCAGCCACCGATGAAGCAGTGGCAATCCGCCGTCCGAGACGGCCTCATCGACGCCGGCGTCTTGCCTAACAACGGCTTCACCTACGACCACATGTATGGCACCAAAGTTGGTGGCTCCATTTTCGACACCGCCGGCCACCGCCATACCGCCGCCGATTTGCTCGACTACGCCAACCCCGATGGCCTCACCGTGCTTCTTAAGGCCACTGCACATAAGGTCCTCTTCCACACTAGAGGTACGCAAGAAGGGAGGGGGTCAAATTTTTTGATAACCACTTCTTACTCTATTTTATTTTTATACAACGATTTAATGTCTTATGTTTTGAGTATGTGATTTTCTGAGTTAGATAATATCATAGAAAGAGTATTTAGGCGTTACCTATTAAATATTGTTGTGTTATCATCTTAATGTTAATATACAATATTGATATAATTAGGTTAATAGTATGGATTGATATGGTTCAATATGATTTAAAATTAGACTAAAATGTTAATGACCTAGACGAACTGTAATCACAAAATTCAAATCATATGTGCATAAATTTAGATTTGTTTATTTTTTATTTTCTACCGAATTCATGTCAAACAAAACCAAATTCAATAATAGTTTATTTGATCCAAATATTAATTTGATCCGATTACATTAGGTTAGACCGTAAACTAAATCGTTGCAATAGCTACATATCAAACCTTTGAGCTTAGGGTCAAACTAAAACACCCTGAACTATTGCTTCGTTTTTTTAGAAGTTGCACAATTATTATTTTTTACATAAACAGAATTTACACAAGTTAGGTGATACCTAGATTTTACATTTATTCCTGGCGTGATATTGTGAAATGTATTACGTTTTATTTGGGTGAATTATTATTATTATTTTACAAATATTGGCGAGTGGACAGGAAAGGCAAGGCCCACGGCCCATGCAGTGGTGTTCAGAGACTCGACAGGAGCGAAGCACAGAGCGTATCTGAACAGCGGAGCCCACAACGAAATAATCATATCAGCTGGGTCGTTGGGAAGCCCACAGCTCTTGATCCTGAGCGGAGTGGGCCCAGTCGACCAACTCAAGGCCCATAACATTACTGTCGTAGTAAACCAGCCCATGGTCGGTCAGCTCATGTCCGATAATCCCATGAACGCCGTCTTCGTCCCTTCTCCGGTACCGGTGGAGGTTTCCCTAATTGAGGTCGTCGGAATCACTCATTTCGGCAGCTACATTGAGGCCGCCAGCGGCGCCAATTTCGGCAGCTTCCCGGACAATGATTACGGCCTGTTCTCTCCCAAGGTAAGAACCCCCCAACCCACGAACCCAATTTTACATAAATCTTCGTCAAATCTTGACATTTTTCCCCACATCGAGCAGATCGGTCAGCTGTCGACGCTACCGCCAAAACAGAGGACGCCAGAGGCCTTAGAGAGAGCAATCTACAACATGAGCAAGCTAGACAGGGCAGCTTTCAGGGGAGGGTTCATCCTCGAAAAGATCATGGGTCCAATCTCAACAGGGCATTTGGAGCTAACCTCGAAGAACCCTAATGTGAACCCATCTGTGACATTCAATTACTTCAAGCACCCAGAGGATTTGGCCAGGTGCGTCCAAGGGATGTCGACCATAGAGAGAGTGATCGGTTCGAAGCCCTTCTCCAAGTTCAGATACGACACTCTGTCGGTCCCTCAGCTGCTCAACATGACAGCAACGGCCCCGGTGAACTTGCTCCCGAGGCACAGCAATTCGTCGGTGTCGTTGGAGCAGTTCTGCAAGGACACTGTGATGACCATATGGCATTACCATGGAGGGTGCCAGGTTGGTGCTGTGGTTGATCGTGATTACAAGGTGATTGGTGTTGATGCTTTGAGGGTTATCGATGGATCCACTTTTAATGCCTCCCCTGGGACTAACCCTCAAGCCACTGTCATGATGCTTGGAAGGTGAGAAAATTGGAACTTGTATGGTGTAGCCAGAAATGGGTCTGCTATGTATGTTTGTTTGGATTGTGTTTAAGTGTTTGATTGATTTGTTTGGTGTGCAGGTATATGGGAGTTGCTATGTTGACTGAGAGGCTTGCAAGTGCTTAAGAGAAGGCTTGGAATAAGTTTATCATCGTTGGGAAGCTTGCCAAGTGATCCATAGTAACCCTTCAAGAGAGATTGCTTTCTGTGTTATGCTTATGAAATCGATGAACATCTTTCCCTCCCACTTTTAAGGGGTTCATATATATCTAGTTCTAATTTGCTGCTGTTGTTCTCTATGATATTGGTCCTTTACTATATTAGTAGACATATAATTATGGGCAAATACAATATAATATCCATAACTATTATGGATCGGGAATTTATATCCTCAACTATCAATATACAAATTAATATCCATAACTATAGTTGCAGGTCAATATATGGCTAACAGTCTGTTACTATCGTTAAATTTGTAACGGAGACTGCCATGTCAGCATCCATATTGGCATCCACATCAGCAAATAATTAAATATATAATTTTTATTTTTAAATTAAAAAAAAAAATTAAAGTTGAAAAACAAACTCAACCACTCTCTCCTCTTTTTCCCCCTATCTTCCTCCACCGTCACCTTGCTTCCTCCGCCCTCCCCTGTCTCCCTCTTCTTCCCCTATCTTCCTCCACCGTCCCCTGGCTTCCTCCGCCCTCCCCTGTCTGGCTGTCTCCCTCTTCTTCTTCCCCTTTCTTCCTCCACCGTCACCTAGCTTCCTCCGCCCTACCCAGCCTCTGTTGTCTCTCAACTCCTCGTTAATAGGGACTAGCCGTCCCTCGGCCGTGGCAGCACCACTCGTCGTCCACTGCATCCACCGCTCCTACGACTCCGTCAACTGCCCCGATGGCGTCGTCCGCAGCAGATCCGACTGGCAGAGCTCATGCGCCATCCTCTCTAGCAAAGTCGCCACTCAGGAGCAGCCTAGATCTGGAAGAGAAAATGGACTCGATTTCATAGATTCGGTCAACGGTCACAAGACTATTGACCTGGATTTGGTCAACGGTACTGCGACTGCCGTCGACTGCACAAGGCGCTGATTATCACCGACCTCGCTCCAGCTCCGATGCACATAGCGCAGCTCCGAGTCGCATACCGGGGAGTCCCCGGTGTGTACTCCGAGGCAGTGGTGGCTTCTTGTCGACAATGAGCTCTCCAGACCTGGATCGAAGATTGGGGATTTGGATTGACGATGGGGGGTTTGTTTCGTTACTTTCGATGAGTGAAAGAAGAAGGATTGGGGTTTTTGGTAGGGGGGACTCAGGCAATGGTAGTCTCGCCGCCATGCCTGCAGGACGGTGAGTGGATCCTCGTCGGCGACTTCGTGTCTTTGCAGACGAAGGGGGAGATGGACAGATGAGAGAAGAAGGGGTTGAGGATAAGAATTGGGTGAATGGATGTGAGAGGAGGGGAGGGGTGATATTTGTTTTATTTTTTTTTTTACGTTTTATGTTATTATTTACTTAATCAATTCCACAGGGATGCCATGTTCTCAATTCCATCTCAGTTTTTTTTTTGCCAGGTCAGCATTGCAGAAAGACCTACTAACGGGGTATTAACGGACAATTAACGATGATATTAATTTGTATATTGATAGTTGAGGATATAAATCCCCGATCCATAATAGTTATGGATATTATATTGTATTTGCCCTATAATTATTGATGTCAAGATTTAGATTTTATAAATGTTTTGAGAGCACAAAGTTAATTGTGGAGATTTATCGGTATTAATATAGTATCAATAAGACTCTCCACAATGTAGGTGGGTTTAGGAGGGAAAGTGGGAAAATAATCCACAATGTGGGTGGGAAAAGTGGAAAAGATAGAGAAAGAGGAAAAATTGGGTGGGAATACCCACCCACTAGCAAACAAATGGTGGATGCAAGGGCGGGAGGAGGGGCCCACTGCCGGGCTCGCATATAATTTGTTTATTATTTTTTTGTTCTAATTTATTTGTTTTAATGGTTTTCTTTTATTGTGAGGTATTTTGATTGGTTTTATCCGCAACTGATAAAATAAATGACGTTATATTTAATTAGTGATGAAAAAAATTATGTCCAAATTAAAAAAAATTATATTTAAATGTTCGTATTAATTAATTATCACTAATTACGTAATAAATAAGGTGAGGAAATCAACTGTAGATTGATTTTAACAACAAAGTGTTAAAACCAATCAAAAAAATAATTGTTTATTTTTTTTGTTCTAATTTATTTGTTTTAATGGTTTTCTTTTATTGTGAGGTATTTTGATTGGTTTTATCCGCAACTGACAAAATAAATGACTTTATATTTAATTAGTGATTAAAAAAATTATGTCCAAATTAAAAAAAATTATATCGAAATGTTCGTATTAATTAATTATCACTAACTATAAAAATAAACTAAGAAAATCAACTTTAGATTGATTTTAACAACAAAGTGTTAAACCAATTACCTACTTTTCTCACCCTCCACATTGTGACCAAAACATTAATTTTCCCCTATTTTTCCTATTTTCCCACTTTTCCCTCTCACTCCCACTCACATTGTGGATGATCTAAATAGTAACAAACGTTAAAAAAAAGTATTAGGAGTAAGACCAAGGTGTCAAAGCCTTTAATAACTTTGTCTAAGAGTGCCTAGGCTCCAGAATCTAAAAAAGGGTACTAAACAAAATAACAATTCATAATACTTCCAACTTGTTTAATAATTTATTTAACATCTAGTAATAAGAAAATTAGTTCACAAGTTCATAGCAAAATAGCTCAATAGTTTACAAAGTTATTCAGCTAAAAAGATTGAGTTTGTACTTTGTAGATGATGTTAGTTTTTCATTTGATATTAACTAGCTAGCTCTATCTAATTATATCTAGACAATATTTAGGTTTAACTCGCCTTATTTCGTCGAATGTGTTCCCAATACCTAACTCATTATGGAACTTCTAGACAAAGCGTTTTGGTATTACTCTTTAACACATTGACGTGGTTATGCCGTATGCGTAATGCTTAAAACACCTTTTTGAACCATGATTGTAATTATACCCTCGTCCAAAGAAGAATGCAACAACTAAATGAGAGTTGGAGGGAATATGACATGGGATATGCCCTTGAAGGCTGCCAACCTTAACTCAGATTTATTAGAGAGAAGAAAGTGGAAAGATAAGAGAAATGGAAAGAAAGAGCATCTCTTGCTTATATATACATCCACATTGGCTTTTCCCCCCTCTTTTCCTATCTTCTCTCATCTCTCTCCAGTCTCCACTACTTCAGAACCAAATGAGAAAGAGTAAGAATTGTCTATATCATGCATGGTCTTGGTGGGAGGGACAGAAGAATCTCTGAAAACCATCTGTTGAGCAATATCACAACAATAGGGCTTCCCTTTCTTCTCTTTTCATTTTCTTTTAGAGATGTGAAAGATCTTGAAGGAATGGCGTGGAAAGCAGGCCAAGGAGATGTCTTAAGTCTCTTACCCTAAAAAAAGAGAGTGGATATCCAACAGCATATGCTCTGCTGCATCCCAAGAATCCCTTGCCCCTGGTTTATTCTTTCTTCTTCCACAACAAAACCTTGCTAGCTATAGGCTTCCCCTTCTGTGTATAAAATCCTCTACGCCTCTCTTTGCTACATTGCCTCAAGGGCAAATCATAGCTAGTTGTGCTATTAGTAAGTGAACTAGTCGTAGGGCTTCTCTCTTTTGGCAGGCTAGCTACTATGGCAGAGTTTTCCGGGTTTCTTTCATTCTTGATGGATGACCCGCCAAAGGAGAGTTGCCCTTTGACTTCTTCAGCTTAAGGTCGAGTGGAGGTCATCCCACAGGCGCCATTGATGCATGGGAAATGCTTGTAGATGTAATTATGGAGTTAAATTATGTAATGTTCTGGTATATGGTTGTTTGGTTGAATTAGAGTGCTATTTCATTTGTCCAGTTAAATCTTTGGTCTTCCAACAAAGAATCATAAAGAGTAGTCAGTCATTTACTAGCCAGGGTTGTTCTGCATACAAAGAAAGGGTTACCAGCCTGTTTACTGTGCTGATTAAACGACATTTTTAATGTTGTCCATTGAAGGATTGTGTTCTATGTGAGATATAGAAAGAGTCTGCTCATACTGTACATATATATTTAGGCTTTAGTAGATTTGGTTTAATGATTTTGACGATATTAAGTCACGAGAAATGATATTGATTAGGTTGTATATGTCTTGAATCACCTGTCATAATATAGTACTCAACCATGATCATTAACAGAAATAGTTGATCATGATGAGAAAAGCACTATTACAAGTAAGATTGGCCTAGAGATCGAGTTTCATGTTCCCCATTGTTCTTGGACATGCATGATTCCATTGGCCTAAAGAGAGTTTAGAATTGAGAACTACAACGTAAGCTATATCAAACTGAAAGTCTGTTTGAACACTCATCGCTGACTGTACACTTTGGCCCTGAGGCTGCTGACATCCACATAAATAATGTCATATATACCGCCGCATGCAAATGAACTCCTTCCAATTTGGATCAGATGTGGATGGCTGCAGGCTGCTGATCTAACGACTGTTTCTTATTAAATAGTCAAGCTGGCTCATTCTACTTAACGAACTGGTTTTATTGGCAGTCATTGATTAGAATGGCCACCATCGCTGTTCGCTGGTATGTATCAAACATGCACGCTGAAGTTTTCTTAAATAACATCGGAGACCAATTTATAACAACAATATGTTGAGATGGCCGAGTTGGTCTAAGGCGCCAGATTAAGGTTCTGGTCCGAAAGGGCGTGGGTTCAAATCCCACTCTCAACAATATATTTCTTTTGACCCTTCAGAAGAGCTGGAATGAGTCTCAATGGCTGCCCGATACCCAGTTCAGCTTCTGTGCTCCCTCTTTTCAGTTTTCAACCAGCTAACAAGACTTCTGCATCAAAGACAAAGAGTAAAAGTTGTCAAGGAATGTGTTGCTGCCTGGCATTGTCATCCATCATCCCACTCATTCATGTACATGGCAAATCCGGGGCCTTGTCCTGTTCAGCAAATAACTTTGTTGTGCCACCCTGGCCTCTTTTGGTTCTTTCTCCTTGTGCATGTTCCTTAACTTCAACATACAGTTCACAATTCCAGATTCTCAAGAATTCATTGCTGTCAGAGGTCAATATAATTTATATTGGCCAGAAAGTTTTGACTTTTAGAGAATTGGCCGGCCAATGGACTCCATAAGCTTTGATGCTACTTCAGTTGAGTTTAGTGAAGCACATTAGAAGGGAAGTTTTCATATCACGATGAGCCCCGTGCATAGGGGCAGTCTTGTTGTACTTACGAGAAGCAAAATAATAGAATGTTTGCGGGAGAAAAGAGCATTGTGACTTGTGACGCATCCTAGGCAAAAAGTTTCAATTACCCACTAGGCCACTATAATTAGTTTATCTATTTATAAGAACGAGATTTGCTTCTATTATTGGCGTGATTCTTATCCATTATCAACACAACATATTGAACACCCATCCCAGGATTCAAGTCTTAAACAGAAGAAAAGAAACCTTCAATCAAAACATGTCTTAGGGTCGTTTGGATGCATCGTTTTGGTTCTATGGTATTTCGAATCCAAATTATGCATATTTTGCTATATGGCATTTCATGTGGTACTTCATTTTGAAATGTGGTAATTGGTGTAATTGTTTTGTTTGGATAAAAAGCATTCAAATATTGTGGTATTTCACCACTTAAAGAAGGGATGAAGTGGAAAAAAAAGTTGGGAGATGAGGTATTTGAAATAACTAGGGGGTGGGTAGGTATTTCAAATAACTCACAATGAGTTATTTCAATTGACTCATGGACAAAATACCACATTCTACTTTATTTTTGCCAAACGAGTTATTTTGATTGAAATACCTCATTCTGAGTTATTTCGACCAAATTACCTCATCAAAATACTGCATCCAAACGACTTAGCTAAATTTGGAAGTGAGTTAATTTTGGTGTCTCAAGCTTTGGCGGATTGATCCTGCATTCTTGAAGGTCATGCAAAATAAGTTTCAGGGACCAGAGAACAATAATATTTGAGAATTATTTTCGTAGTTCCGAATTCATAATGTTGTGATTGTCGTTGGTGTTTCCACAAACTAAACGACCCCTTGATTTACAGTTCGTCACTATAAGGCTAGTTTGGTGACAAAAAGGCTTTACCCAATGGCTCGACATTGACTTTCCATGCGTTAGATAAGTCTTATGAGACTATTTTGGTTATAAGTTTTGTGTTTAATCACACATTGTAGATGCATTGTTGTCACAAATGGGACAACGTCTCCATAAAGCTTGAAAACAGCACCACATAAGAACAATCAAAAGCCACCCATAATTTTGTTTGCGATCGTTAAAGTATATACAGTAACCTTCCTAACAATTAACTATTTCGACATTTAACGTACCGTGGGGGGGTTCGGTCCTTCGAATCCGGCCAAGAATGACCCATCGAAGTTGCCGGCCACTTCCCCTAACCTCTCCTTTCTCACTAGGCCACACTATTTCTCACCATGAAGCTCTCTTCTTTTCTTTCATCCACAAGTCTTCCCAAGTAAACGGAAGAATGCAAATGGAGTTTGGTAAGAGCTTCAGATGTTCTTAAATGCTGCAAGGAAAGGGAAGGCAGTCCTACCACGGCAATTGCCTCCACAGCGAAAATTCAGAGCATCCCTCAACTGGCGGCTATGGAAGGAAACCGCTCCAGGTAGAAAAACAGGGGAAAGAGGGAAATTGATCAAATTGTGGCGGAGAAGAAACAAAATGAGTTCTTTCTGTGGGAAAAGAGGGGACTCTGCAACTTGCCATTGTGGGTTTTGCCGGTTACCTTTACTCGCCATTCTCAAGCCTTCCCCTCAAACTCAAACCCTAATCTCCCATGGCGGCCGCCACCGTGACTTCCAAGCGTCAATGGCTTCCTTAATTCCGATTCCGCATTTCACAAACCACGAATCCCTGCCTCCAATGGAGCAATCTTTCTCGACCTTCATCCAATCGTTCCCGCAGTATCTAGAAACAGAGCAGGCGGACAGAATCAGAGAAGCAGAGTATTCCCATCTCTCCGTCTCCGATCACGCCTGCCTCGATTACGTCGGCCACGGCCTGTTTTCCCACCGCCAACAGCAGATTCAATCTCCGGACGCCGCCGCCGCGTCGACGTCATCATCTGCCGCCGTTCACTATCCGATTGAGAATCCGTTCTTCGAAATTTCACACAAGTCGATTAGCCTCAACTTCGAGGTTAAGCACGGGAGCGGCTGCCCGGAATCGGAACTCGAATCCAGAATCGGGAAGAGAATCATGCAGTTTATGAACATCTCCGACGAGGAATACGGCGTCGTCTTCACGGCGAACGAGCCCTCTGCTTTTAAGCTCGTAGCGGACTGCTACCCTTTCGCGACGAACCGGAATCTCTTGACGGTGTACGATCACGAAAACGACGCCGTGGAGACAATGACGAAGGCTGCAATGAAGAGAGGAGCTCGCGTCTCGTCAGCGGAATTCTCGTGGCCGGAGTTGAGAATCGAAACGGACAAACTGCAGAGGGAGATAGTGGGGAAGAAAAAGAGAAAGAACGAATTGCAAAACAGAGGGCTTTTCGTTTTCCCGGCGAAATCGAGAGTGACCGGCGCTAACTATTCGTATCTGTGGATGAATCTAGCTCAGGAAAACGGGTGGCACGTATTACTGGACGCTTCAGCTCTGGCGCCGAAAGAAATGGAGACATTAGGGTTTTCACTTTTCAGGCCCGATCTCTTGATCTGCCCCTTCTACAAAGTGTTCGGGGAAAACCCATCGGGGTTCGGTTGCTTGATCGTCAGGAAATCGATTGCGGCTTCGATTCTCGAAGATTCCGATAAAGCCGCGTCGATCGTCCGGCTGAATGCTCCGGCGGCTTCGAGTTTGGAATTCCGAGGGTTGGACCACGCTGACGAATTGGGGCTGATTGCAATCAATGCGAGGGCGAGGCTGCTGGTGAACTGGCTGGTGAATTCGCTGCTCCGGCTGCGGCACCCGAGCTCCGTCGGAGTGGGCGTTCAGTTGGTGAGGATCTACGGGCCGGGGGTGGAATTCGATCGGGGGACGGCGGTGGGGTTCAATGTGTTTGACTGGAGAGGGGAGAGGGTTGATCCGGCGATGGTTCAGAAGCTTGCGGGGAGGAAGGGGATTTCGCTGGGATGTGGGTCTCTGCGGAACTTGGGGTCGCCGGGGAAGAGAGACGGTGGTGGGATTGCGGTGGTGACGGTGGCGATTGGGATGGTGACCAATTTCGCGGATGTGCACAGGGTGTGGGGACTTGTGTCGAGGTTTTTGGATGCTGATTTTGTAGAGAAGGAGAGGTGGCGGTACACCGTTCTTAATCAGAACACTGTGGAAGTTTGATTGGATGGATTTGTTTCTTTTTTTTGGTTGAAATGTGGATTTGTTTCTGTGTACATAACATAATTCTTCGCTGGTAATCAAACATTTTTGCCTTTTCATACGTCAACTGAGGAATAAATCAATTTTTATCTACACATAAGAGAAGATAAGACAATCGCAGTTACAGTACAGGACTGTCGTGGAAATATAATAGAAAAACTAAAAACAAGTCTCAAAAATCAAAATGAAAAGCTAAGGCCTATGGGCCAATTTATGAAATTAGTGGTGGGCTTGAGACCAGATAGTGATGGGCTATTTACTGCCATTTAGCTATCTGCCCAAAATCCAAATTGATAGTGGAAGTAGAGGGCCTCGTTTGTATTTCAGCCCATTGGCATCTCTGTCGTATTCTAAAAAGTAAAATCATAACAAAATTAAATCAATTTATTTATTTATTTATTTTGCAAAATACACCACCATAATTATAACTATCGGATTTTTATACAATAACAGTCACTTTTTAAAAAATATATTAAAATAGCCATAAATATGAATCAATAACGAAACCATTTCGATATTTTTTTTTAATTCTACACAGTCTTTTTTTAGTAATTAAACATGAAATCATCAAATGACGAAAATACAATATTCGAGCAAATGACCAGAGATAATTAACATGTGACATAATAGTATTGATGTTTTTGAGATTTTTGGAAGGGGATAATTTTAAGTTTCTGTATTACCAACCACTTAAAACACTCTCAAACATCAACTGAACCACAAAAATAAACAAAAATAAAAACAAACAGTTATTATAATTATATCTCTACTCTTGAGTGTTGATGTGTATGCTTAGCTTCAAAAGCTGATTAATTGGGTTATTGGGTGGCTGGGTAGTAAACGAGTGATGAAGAAGAAGAGTTGGTGAGATTCAGCAATCAGCACCACTCACATAATAATTATTCCATAAAGAAAAGTCTCCAAACTACTGTGGAGCATCTCTTGACTAAATATTTGTGACTCATCAGAGCAGTGGCGTGCGCATATCATTATTTTTGGGCGTGTATATATATGAATATTTTGGTGCACTAACAAAAATGAGTGCATTCAATGCACCCAACTAAAAAATTACGCTTAAGGTGTTTGATTTTGAATTTTAATTTGTAGAATTAGTGTAATATGATGATATAACATATGATAACAACTAATTAGCGGATTACCCTAAGCCCTAGACCTCCAATTTTGAGTTCTATCCGTAAACCCCAAATTGTAAACCCTAACCCTAAATCTCTAAACTCTAAATCCTTCAAATTAAAGTAAATCTTCAATGGTTTTTGGGAAAATTCATGTGCGTTATTGTTCATCACAACATAAGTGATGATTGACATCATTTTGACATAAATCGCATGTTTAAAATGACGGTTATGAAGTGAGTGCACTGAATGCACCCAAAAAATTGAGTGCACCGTATACGCCACCATATATATATATATATATATATATATATGGTGCCTTCTACGGTACCCCGGGAGAAATTCGGGTACCGCATACCTTGAGTATGAAAACGCTATCTAGACTTCGAATTAGCAGAATTTTCGGGCATGATACTATACCCTAACCCTTACTGAGTGAACCCTAGGTCCTAATTATCTAAATCATAAACTATAAACCCTAAGATGGTGCATTGATTTTTTTGCCTATATTTGGACGAATCATAACCGTCGATTATTGTTTCTAATTAAATTGATCTTGGGGAATAAGATTTAGAGAATTAAGACCTAGATTTTGATCTTGAAGGGTTAAATTATAGTATCATGTCCGAAAGATCAGTCAATTCAGGTTCTGGATACCATTTTCTTACTCAAGGTATTCGGTACCCCGGATTTCACCCTGGGTATCGTAGAAATTCCCATATATATATGGGGAGTTCTATGGTACCCAGGGTGAAATCCGGTGTATATATATGGGGAGTTCTACGGTACCCAGGGTGAAATACGGGGTACCGCATACCTTGAGTAAGAAAACGGTATCCAGAACATGAATTGACTGATCTTTCGAACATGATACTATAATCTAACCCTTAAAGATCAAAATCTAGGTCTTAATTCTCTAAATCTTATTCCCCAAGATTAATTTAATTAGAAACAATAATCGACGGTTATGATTCGTCCAAATATAGACAAAAAAAATCAATGCACCATCTTAGGGTTTATAGTTTAGATTTAGATAATTAGGACCTAGGGTTCACTCATTAAGGGTTAGGATAAGGACGAGATACGGTGACAACCTCTAAGGGGGTTGTCAGATTCACAACCCACTTCTTAGCCCTTGGATTTGCTTTCTCTCCTGTCTCTTTTTTTTTTTTTAAATTAACGGTTAAGATTAAAGGAAGGATATTTTGGGAAGGGTAAAAATTTATCACACCCAATCATTCACCCTACCATATAAAAAGAACAAAAACCCTAACTCCTCCATCCTCCCTCTCTCTCTCCTCCCTCTCTCCCGTAGACATCACCGTCTCTCCTCCCCCTCTCTCCGCTGTCACAGCCCTCCCACCACCGCGCCTGCGGTCCCCGCCGCTCCTGCCGCGCCGCTGTCCGCTCCCCCCGTCGCGCCGCTGTCCTCCCCCCTGCCGCGCCGCTGTCCTCCGCCCTGCCGCGCCTACCGTCGTATCACGCTGACCCCGCCGCCGCCGCGAGGTCAAGACTCTTCCCTGCCGCCCTCTTTCCTCATCCCTATTTTTTTCCAGATCTGATAGTCTCTACTGGTACCAATACCACTGGTAGCACTATTGATACCAATACCACTGGTAACGCTATTCGTACGCTACCACTACTCACTGGTACCAATACCAATGGCTCCCCTATCATCTGGTACCACTATCATCTGTTTTTTTTTTTTTTTGTTATTCTCTACTGGTACCGCTACCAATGCTAGTGGTAGCGCTACCAGTGCTAGTAGCGCTGTGTTATTCTCTACTTGTAGCGTTGTACTAGTAGCGTACCACTAGTACTGGTACATTTTTTACTGGTACCGCTAGTACTGGTACATTTTTTAACGTACTGGTAGCGTACCACTAGCACTGGTATATTAATTACCAGTAGACTAATAGATTGGTACACTTTTTAACGCATTGGTACATTTTTTCAGGTTGCCGGAGGGAGTCTGCCGGAGAGAATTCGCCGGAGAAAAAGTTTGTCGGTCGATGCAGAGTGGCTGCTGGAGAAAGGAAGAGAGGGAGATAGATAGAGATATTAATGTATAAGATTTAAATTTCAGAAAAAATTGTATTTAATATGGGTTTTTAATTCCCAATATAAGTAATACAAAAGAGGTAATTAATATATTCCTTTTTTTCATACCCAAAATACCCTTGGTTGTGAATCTGACAACCCCATTAAGAGGTGTCACCGTATCCCGTCCCGTTAGGATATAGTATCATGCCCAAAAATCCTGCTAATTCGAGTTCTAGATATCGTTTCAATACTTAGGATATAGGGTACCCCGGATTTTACCCTGGTTACCGTAGAAGAAACTATATATATACAAAACACTCTTAGATTGGATCTCTCATTCTCTCCTGTTCCCAATTCAAATTTTCAGCAGAAATTAATTTTGTAAAGATATTGGCTTTTAGCAGAAATTAATATAAAATTGAGTACCGCCCGCCAATTTACAAGTACTAGCAATGTCAATATAGAGTGGCTGCTGTTCAATTTATTGTCTCAACCAAGAATATATATAATCAATTGCAACCTCATTAAAAATTCATCAAAATATCGATTCGATAAAATTCAGCAGGATAAATCCTTGTCCGTTATTCCTTGTTGCGGAGGTGTCATCGGGTGGAAGTTAGCGGTTTGGAATTTTTTTGAACAAGACGTCTGCCATTTCTTTTTCTTATAGCAACAAACCAAATGAGTTCCAGTTTAGGTTAGAGTTCTCTATGTGAAATGAATGTGTATATTTTAAAGAGGACATTAGTCATGTGGACCTAGTCAATGTAGTCGTGGCATCACATGTTGATCTGTGACAAAAGGTTAATTTTTTAAAAGCCAAGGATGATTATTTGGACTGTTGGGGGAAACCAATATGGTGGTTAGTGAGATAAACTATGATTAATGACTTTTCATTTCAAATTATAGGGCTCTACATTCTACAATGCTCAAGAAACATTGCCCAATTCTGTTTCACCGTCTTGGCCTTTGCCCATTTCGTTGTATCAGACTTGTTTCATTAATATGAAGAACTGATTCAACGTAAAAAAAAAATACAATGTTCAAGAATCTCACAGTTTTGATTAATTTTTGATGTTTAATGTTTTCTTGGGTTGTAAAAAAAGGAACCCAAAACAGTTTTATTTGTATAGTGACTCAAGAAAATATTGAAGCTACACTTTTTTTTATGTACAACGGTGAAATTTTAGTTGCTCTTTGATCAAATCGATAGACGTCAAAAAGAGTTACACAATAAAACTGAAATCATAAGCATATAGTCAAAGGCACAACTTATCGTGTCAATCGTAATATCAAAATAACTTTTAGATAAAATATGAAGATCTTAGTTATGTTTAACATCTAACTTTAATTCCTTGTTTGTTTGGCACATGTTGAAAAGGTAAGATCTCCAACATGCTAATTATCAACAAGTTAACAAGAGCCACGGTTGGTAAATCAACTTCACAACAAGAGAAAGTATTATATATAGGATTAACTATTTCAAATTTTTAATAGGCCCACTTGTTTAAATAATGAATAAATCAAGTCTTTACATGATGTAATTGATTTAATATTGCTTATAGATTAAGATTTTTCCCCCTAATTTAATAAATATATGCACAGTGCATCTAAGTCAGTGATGAGCATAAATAAAACTGTACATATTGATTTGCTTTTCCTTTTTTTTTTTTTTTTCATTCAAGTTTAAAACTCGAGTAACTACCATTAGATCAATCTCTCCTTGATGTAGTTTGACTTTATTATTAATGTTAATTATTCATTTCATGGTTGACGTTATAACTCAGTGAAATGAACTGACTTTTGATTTGATCTAGCCGGATAAAATACAACAGAAAACAGTGATGTCTTCACTGAATACTTTGTTTCATCAAAACTACTAATCAAAATTAATGTTCAACAAACTCGAGAAGAAAATCAAGCTCCTATCGATCCATGAGTAGTAACATAACATTGTGACAGCACATATGCGAACATGGCGCAAAATTTATTGGGCTGCTTGGGTTTGGTATTAGTGGGCTTTCATTTAATTGGGTTACAGAGTGTAAAGTCAAGCCCATTGATCGGTCCCACTCCCACGTACGTATGATTCGATATGATCAAACCCTAGCACTTGGGTCAGTGTAGCTACATGGATGCATCATGCATGTCCCCAGCTCCCAGGTTGTTTACTTCCTTTATTGTCTACCTTTAGACCCACTCTCTGATCTGTTTTTTTTCTTTGTAAAATACCAAAAATTCTCTTCATTTAATGAGGACTATTATTACTCATGAGAGTTTTTAGAGGTGTGGAACTAATTTGGAAGAAGAGATAATGTTAGTATGATTCGTAAAGTCTAGAACTAATGATGAGTGTACGATATCTCTCAAGTATCTAAAAAGTATACTGTCCGAAAATGAATTAATACATCAAGGTGGTTAGACACACATTTTTTTTTTACAATAAAACCATCTTTTATTCCAACATCGAAACAAACGAGAAACTCCGGTTACATTCTTAAAGAAGATCAGATTTTAGATCAAGAATACTAATCCAGTTCACGGGTAAAGTAGATCTAGCTTTAGAGCGTGCTACCCAATCGGCTCTGACATTCAAAGCTCTCGGCACCTGATTGACTTTAATGAACGGGTTATTCCTAAGGATGTTGATCATCAAGCCAATCCCGGCCGCACACCGCCATGGCCATCCCGAATAATCTTTTTCCAAAGCTTTCACCAGATCCTGACAGTCAGAGAAAACCGTGCATTCCGTTCCATATTCTTGTGCTAATTTAATACCTTCCAAGTGGGCCTTCGCTTCCGCTTCAATCGGGGTGGAACAAAGAAAGGTCTCAGCTCGTCCATCACTCACTTGTCCATGGTGGTTAGAAGTCACAACACCATATGTCGCCGGCTGGGAGTCGCTAATGAACGACCCATCACAGTGAATCATCAAAGGGTGATTACTTGGCGGGGGATTCGTAGAGGTATGGGTTCCCCTGAGCTGAGTAGGAGAGGCATCATTTGTAGATGGGGGCCTCGGGATGGAACTCCATTCAGTGCGTTCTCTAAAAGTTTGCAAACAGACGTTTGGGGGCCAAAGAACTCTATTCTTGAAAGTGCGCTCATTCCTAGCCTTCCAGATATTCCAGCAGAGGAACACGATATGGATCAAGGCTTCATGTGAAATAGCATCCTTGATATCCCAGATCCAATCAAAGAAAGCGGAATCCTGGGGAGGGAGAGGAAGAGAAGGGAAGATAGAACTCCAAGCTTCATTTGCATGAGGGCAGTATAAAAGACAGTGCAAGAGGGACTCATTTGGGTTATTGCAAACTTGACAAGTCGGGTTAGGGGCGCATTTCCTGTGAAACAGCCTCGCTTTCGTTGCCAGCCCATTTCTTGAACACCTCCAGATGAAGAATTTGAGCTTGGGTGGGAGGTTCAATCCCCACATCCATTTCCATTTGTCAGCGCTTCCTGTCGGTTGGAAGTTTGTATTTTCTTTGTGGAAGGCGTGGTAAGCCGTCTTAACCGAGAACATTCCTTCTTTTGACAGACTCCACGCCCAGAAGTCTTCGGCTCCTTCCTCCCCTATCGGGATCCTCAAGATCGCATCTAATTCTTCCTTGGACACATGCCCCTTAATAGTATTCGAGTCCCAACATCTGTTCTCTTGATTAATCCAGTCCTTGACCTTCAAATGTTGTTGGGGCCCGCTTCAGATGATAAATTTTTAAGATTGGGAATCCAAGGGTCCTGGTTCACCCAAGTCTCCTCTCCTGATCCAATGACCTTAATTGCTCCTAAATTCAACACTTTTTTTGCCTCCCAGAGACTCGCTCAAATCCAAGAGGGTTTACTTATTTTTGCGCTCATGAGATCTCCTCTCGCCCAAATCCAAGGGTTAGACACACATGAATGATAACAATGATGTGTGGGTTATCTTAATAATGTACATCGTTCAAACTGCTAACTTCCCATCATTCAAAGTCCAATGAAACTCTTTCATACTATCATCATATCAGTTGTCCCTATACGCACGTCTTATGTTGTCGAGTCTCGAGACAACAACTAACAATTTCCTTATAAAAATTTGAACATATATCGAACTGGTATTTTGAGTTTTGATTAAAACATAATCTCTTAATTCAAGGAAAAGATTGGTAACCCTTCTAATTCTAATTGATCAAATATACTGGTTAGGTGTTACAGATCTGTATACACTGCCAGATTTTAAGGCAGCACTGCAGTAGTCACCACTCAAAATTGTAAGATATAGTTAATAGTTATAATTAGGCAAAATACACTTGTATAGCCAAAACTTTGACGGTTTGGCCAAATATAGCCACTTTTGGCGAAATACCAAAAATAGCCAATTCCGTCCAATTGTTTGACGGTGTTAACCAAATAGCTGACTGGACTAACGGAGAGGCTGAGTTGGCCACAATTATTCAATTAAAGTGTGAGGTGGAAAATAAAAATAAATTTTTTTATTTTTATTTTTCCTCTCCCATCTCTTTTCCTTCCCCTTCCCAGCGTAATCTCTCCCATCTCTTTTCCTACCCAGAACAAGCCCATTAATCAATCTTCCATAACCCTTTATTATTGAGATCAATCAATCCATCCCTACCATCTTCTGTCGTCGATACCCCCAGCCCACCACCACCATTTTGAAACCCCACACCCTTCCGGCTGTTGCTTGGATTGTCGTCGCGCCGTAGCTCGTCCGCTATGACCCTGCCCCCAATCTCTCTTGGTCGAGTGAATTAGAGAAGAAGGATTCAGCCGCAACCGCCCTTCATCTCTCGATCTCGCCGCCGCCGCCTCCCTTCATCTCTCGATCTAGCCGCTGCCGCCCTTCATCTCTCGATCTCGCCGCCGCCGCCTCCCTTCATCTCTCGATCTAGCCGCTGCCGCCCTTCACCTCTCGATATCGCTACCACCGCCTCCCTTCATCTCTCGATCTCGCCGTCGTCGAATTGGAAGCGGTCGTCATCAATCATAGCCGGATCTGAGATGGAACACTTTGTTGTGTGAGTCTCGTCGTTTGCGTAGTTAGCGGTGTCGAGATCGTCAATCATAAACCTATTTCCCCAAATTCTAGGGTTGAGGAGAAACCCAGACTCCCAGAGATGCCCGACCAGTCGACTGGAGCGATTGAAGGGATGGGCTGGAGTGACGATCAGATGGGTGGGTGCGGGGGATTCGGGGGAGAAGTTTGGTGAAGAAGTGCGGGGGAATCGGGGAATCGACAAAGGTTGGTTCGTGAAGAGGGAGAAGGCAACAGACAGAGAAGGCAGGGAGGAAAGAGAAGATAATTATTTTTTCTAAATGAAAAATAAATATAAGATATATTAGAAGTGAATTGTGACATGGCATCTGTGTGGTAATTAAGGCTGAGTTGTCGCTGACATGGCAATGATTTGGCATTCTCGTCAGCATACCGTTAATCTAACAGACATAATTTTGTAACATCGTTAAAGTTTTGGACGGAAATGGCTATTATTGTCATCAAACTTTCAAAATTCTGGCTATTATTGGTATTTCCCCAAAAGTGGCTATTATTGTCACAAACGTTAAAGTTTTGGCTATACAGATGGATTTTGCCTTATAATTAATCCCCCTTTCCCAGCTCTTTAATTTGTTTGCATGTCTGTGTCCTAGCTACTAGTAGCCTACTACTAGTCAACAACCAACTACCTGGCTTATACTAAGCTGCTATCTGACGATCAATGTTGCCAAAGGTATATTACTAAAATGATGTCGATATAAGATCTAATCCGAATAAAAGTCACTTAAAAGGTGAATCATATTTCATAATCAAAATTACTATGAGCTCCTTTGAATTAAAGGATCCTTCATGGGATTATGAGGATGTATTGAATTTTTTGATACATCTATCTTTTTTTCCGGTAATTACACATCTATTTCTAATGTTAGTTTGAGATAAAGATCGCAATATTTGAGATTTTGTGTATTTTGAAGAGCGTGACTTAATATAAAACTTTGTCAAACAACATCTATTTGTTAGTCTATAAACATTCTGGCTCGAGACCGGACTATTATGACTCATTTGATTCGTGGGAATCAATCCAAATCACCTAATCTTGAGTTGATCAGGTAACTAATAATAATCAGCTCGGTTGAGTGTCAGAAAATAATGGTCCAACCGAAACGGAACGGTCCAACCCAAACTTAACAATCTTGGCATGTAATGCAAGTTCGGGCAAAACGGAAGGAAAATTCTGAAGAGGGAGCGAGGAAGTCCGCACTTCTGCCCACCATCCCCTGCCTTCGTTTTTCCTATATAAAGCCTGCTTTCAACAGCCTTTTGGCACTCATAATCAGCAACAACAACAATAATCTTTGTGTGACCCTTCTCATCGTCGCCCACTCTCTCGCTCTTTCTCCCTTTGATTCCTTCGACCAAGCCGTGAAGAAACTACTCTCCTGCAAAATGGCGAAGAATGTAGGAATTTTGGCCATGGAAATCTACTTCCCTCCTACCTGTGTTCAGCAGGTAAATTCCTATTGATCTCCCTCCCTCTCTCCCCGTCTCTGCTACTCCCCTGCCGGCGAACTGGCAAGACTTCGCCTTCTCTTTTCTAATTTTCCCGTTGCATGAAACGGACGATTCGAACGGACAGCCGTTTCCTTTTTTTCTCCCCCTTTGACTCTGCGATTGCAGCGCATCGAATTAAGCGTGGCGGGTTTGCCTCTGAACTAGTGATTTCGGCGTAACTGAATTACTGCGAAATGATGATTGATTTTGGTGGTTTTCTTTAGATTTTTTTTTATGGACCCTGCTTCGATGTTTACGAAGTTGGGATGAAATCTACATGGCTCTCTCTTCTCTCTCTAGCAGTTGCTGCCGATTTGGTTGGTATTTGACAAATTTGGTTGGTGTCCAACAGGAAGCTCTGGAGGTTCATGATGGAGCAAGCAAAGGGAAGTACACCATTGGGCTTGGCCAGGATTGTATGGCATTTTGTACTGATGTGGAAGACGTCATCTCCATGAGGTTTGATTCTGTACTCATTGTATCGCTTTTTCTCCTCTTTTCCACTTCTCCTTATTGGCTCCCTACTAATCCATTCTATGCTAAACTGCAGCTTGACTGCCGTTAATTCACTCCTGGAGAAGTATGGTGTTGATCCCAAGCAAGTTGGTCGTCTTGAAGTTGGGAGCGAAACTGTGATTGATAAAAGCAAATCCATCAAGACTTTCTTGATGCAGATCTTTGAGGTGCCTTTTCCACTTTCCTCTCCTCTTTTGTGTTCATTCCTTCTTTTGGATTTTGGGTTGTGCTCTTATATCATAAAGTAGTGTTCTTTTCTTGTTTGTATGGACATAAATAAATGCTCATCCATTCTGCTCAAACCATTATGCTCAAAAGCAGGATCCAGATTCCAGTCCATGGTTATTTTGAGCTATGAGCAGGAGTGGTTTAGCAGATATTGGATGTTGCATGCAGCCATCGAAGTTTAGTACGTGGTAGATGGAGGTGTTTGTTTTGATATTTGGTTTAGGGATGTACTTCGCTGAATTGATTGAAGCTTAAGTTGGATGTAATTGGTACTTGAGTTTTGCTTCCTAGATTTTTGTTTTGGCAGCTTATCATGGCATCTTCTATTTATCAGACATGTTCTTAATTTGCAATCTGCCTTTTCTTTGTTATGATACAAACAGAAATGCGGGAACACCGACATTGAAGGTGTTGATTCAACAAATGCTTGCTATGGAGGAACTGCAGCTCTGTTCAACTGTGTAAACTGGGTTGAGAGCAGCTCATGGGATGGCCGATATGGCCTCGTTGTGTGTACTGATAGTGCGGTATGGATCTTTTATTCATTGCTAACGTTCGTGCATGGTCAGACACCAATATTTGATTACCTAATGCTTACTGGAGGTCTGTTTGTATGTTCATCAGGTCTATGCTGAAGGACCAGCCAGGCCTACTGGAGGAGCTGCAGCAATTGTCATGCTAATAGGCCCAGATGCACCTATTGTTTTCGAAAGCAAATATAGGGGAAGTCATATGGCGCATGCCTATGACTTTTACAAGCCCAACCTTGCCAGTGAATATCCGGTGATTATTCTAAAATAACTCCAACATTGTTCTAGATCTTAGGCAAATTGATTTCATCTGGGATCTCTTTTGGGAATGGGGGAATACTAATATTGACATTGGGAGAGCAAAAACCAGAGCCCATATGAGCCAAAGAACTGAACTTTCCACTGGATTTGTTCAAATTTAGCAACAGCATGCCTTAAATATCTTCATTTTCTATTGGTGGAATTCATCTAATACTTGGTGCTAAATGTTGCTGATGTGGTTGTAGGTTGTAGATGGCAAGCTTTCTCAAACGTGCTACCTCATGGCTCTTGATGCCTGCTACAAGCATTTTTGTGCCAAGTATGTCTCTATTTCAGTTTAGAGGTTTAGGTTTTATATTGAGTATTGTTTAGAGTTAGTTCATTTGACGTGAATGGCATCCTGTTTCTGTAGGTATGAGAAGTTTGAAGGAAGGCAATTTTCTATTTCTGACGCTGAATATTTTGTTTTTCATTCACCTTACAACAAGGTAGTTTGTTTATCCTCAGACTTTAGTTTGAGTTATCTTCTTTTCTTCTTTTTGCCTCTTTTGTCAAGCTGGTTAACATTTTCAAATAAATACTCTACTGCAGCTTGTACAGAAGAGCTTTGCTCGTTTGGTCTTTGATGACTTCACCAGGGATGCAAGGTTAGTTTCTTTGGCTTCAGTCTTCTGAATATTTCTTGTCTTTTGCTTCACTTCGACTCCATTAGTTTGTCTAAATTTTTGTATTGACTAAATATCTGTGATTGGTGTCTATTTCTAGCTCCATTGACGAGGCTGCTAAAGAGAAGTTTGCACCATTTTCAAGTTTATCAGGCAATGAGAGCTACCAGAGTCGGGATCTTGAAAAGGTTAGCCAGCCATCCTCAATGGTGGCCGAATAAAAGCTTTCTAAAAATGAATTTTAAGTCGATCAATGTTAACATGATTCATTAATTGTCGACCTATTTATACTTGAGCATTTTCATTTTTGCAGGTGGCCCAACAAGTTGCCAAGCCGTTCTATGACTCCAAAGTGCAGCCAACCACATTGATTCCAAAACAAGTTGGGAACATGTATACTGCGTCTATTTATGCAGCCTTTGTGTCCCTTCTGCATAACAAGAATAGTGAATTGGTAAAACTCTTTTTGCCCTACAGCAAAACTACTCAAACAACTGGGTGAAATAAATAATATGTAGAATGCTGGTATTGACATATGTTCTTTTGGGGATCTTTATGACAGGCGGGAAAGCGGATTGTAATGTTCTCATATGGAAGTGGTTTAACAGCCACAATGTTCTCCTTGAAGTTACAGGAAGGACAACATCCTTTTAGCTTGTCCAACATTGCTTCCGTGATGAGTGTCGATGAAAAGTTGAAGTCAAGGATTGAGGTAACTCCAACTTCTGCTTTGAACTTTGCAAAACGCTTGAAAGAAACCTCCACTTTGCTTCTATAATCTTAATAATACACAAGTGGATGAATGATGAAGTTACTTGTGTGGGATTGCTTCCCCGTCAGGGAACTGTAATCCCAGTCACACCACTTCCAGCACCTTAAACTCGAAGGATTTAACACTCATTCTTAGACTAGCCGTGATCAGCCTTGCTTCTACGACTCATCGCTCCGCATTGCATGTTAATGATGCCGAGTGTTTTTGGTTCCCCATGAAGGTTGCACCAGAGAAGTTTGTGGAGACCCTGAAGCTAATGGAGCACAGGTATGGAGGCAAGGACTTCGTGACGAGCAAGGATACAAGCTGCTTGGCCCCAGGAACATACTACCTCACTGAAGTTGACTCAATGTATCGGAGATTCTACTCACAGAAGGCGACCGAAGGCGCTCCTGCCAACGGCTCGATCGTCAACGGTCACTGACGTAGTGGGAATTGGAGTTAATTTGATGTGGCTGCAGTATTTGGAAGAGAAATTTTTTAAGTACTCTGTGTGTGCGTGTGGCTATTTTAGATGTGTGATCAGCAGCAGCAGCAGCAGACAAGTGCGTCTGCCTAGACTAGGGCAAGCAAAATGATTCCTAGAGTCCTTTTCTAAGTTCATGTTGTTCATTTCTCTCCCATAATGTATCTTTCTGTCCGTCTTTAGTTTGTATGAAGCGCAATTGGTGTTGAGAAACTAATAAAAAGGCGCAATTTCCTTCCCAGGTTCGGTCCGTGTTCCACACTTGTCGTTCAATGCATCATCTCAACCGTCGTTCTTTCTATAGCAACCATCAATCGTCGTTTTGCTCGAAGGAAATGCGATTTGCTTTTTTTTTTTTTTTGGCATTAGATAAATGCGATTTTACTCTACAAGTCTACATCGGCAGAGTACATAAGAAGAACATGGTGAATGGGCTTCAACGAGCTTTGAGTATGGGCTTGGGTCGAACAGAATTTTATATTGAGTCAAAGTACTGAAGTAGGCCCAAACCGACACCATGAACTACATCGGCAGAGGGCATAAGCTGCCAAACCCATATGATATGAACTAAGGCTAAATCCTAACTCGCATTTCATTACCCCTGCTGCTGACTTCAGTAGATCTCGTAAGGCAAACGAATAGAGCACCATTGCAGTATAGAGCAAACGAATGATTAGACATCTCGTGACAATTTGTACGCATAAAATTCGTGCTTACACATACTCGGTCAATTCGTAGAATTTTTTCTTACTCAAAATCCTGTACACTTCTATTAAAAGCGAGAAATAAGTTGTTTGTATGTAAATCAAGTAAGAAACGAGCTCAAATTTGAACACGCAAATTCGTACCGAATCCAACCACCAATTCCTAAAACATGTTGTTACCTACAGCCAATCCAACCCAGAATCGATCAAAAACTGGATTTTATCCAACGTTAACCATGTCGAGCCGGATTAGATCCGACTTCAAATGCCATTCGCTTCCGAGCAAGGAGATATCATTACATTATCATATAGCTACACGCTTACAGTTCTCAGCTTTGATTTTAAGATTACGATTACACACCACCTCTTTCAGCTTTCTCTGAAGCAAAAAGTAGAGCGGACCCCCTTTTCTTCCGACTTTCCTGACACCACTTCCAGGCCACCTATTCTCTCTGCTCCGTGGTCCACCCGGTTTGGGCCCACTGCCTAGTTGGGTAATCGAGTAGGCCCACCATACGTGTCAGTATTTTATCCCCTCAACCCAAACCCTACACTTGTTCTGTGATCTTATCGCCACCGTTTATCTCTCCCATGTCCCAACTCCCGACCCCAATTAAAGAGAGAAGAGAAGGTCATGCCTCCACAGGCCCACCACCCGCACCCTCCAATTTTTTTTTTTATACCAAACCCCCACTTCCAATTTTAAAAAAAAATTGCAAGATTGTCGATTTAGCATCTGAACTTTTAGATCCTACTCATTCTGATGCATAATTCTTTGAGTATGATGGCTACAACAAACCTCAATTCTCTCTCATCATGTAAAAGTCTTTGAATTGGGTAAGTTGGAGAAAGATCATTGGAGGAGAAATTATTAAACAGAAAACGAGAGGAGCAATCCATTTATGTTATGGGAATTTTCGAAATGTCTTTTCCTAAAAAATTTTGATAAGATTTGTGAAAAATTCGACTGTGAGTTGGGACTTAAAGTATCGAAATGCCCGAATTATAAAATATATGTATCGAAAATACAAAACTTAAAAGATTGAGGGGGCGTGGTGGGGAAGCCCATTACCGTTGATGCTGGCGTGGACCACCGCGGCAGCTGCCAGCAAAGAAAGACGGGGGCATCTCATGGACCAAGGAAGGTGGGGCCCTCCAACCTTTTCAATTTATTACCGTCCTTCTTCACGACAAGATACATTTATATATTTAGTTGATTATTAATTAAACTGCACAAATTTATGTAAACCGTCGTTAACTTGAGATCCTAAGCCTTAACAACAAGATTAAAATCGATAATAATTATAGAGTTGCTGGTTCTTCATTACCCATTTTTACCATGAAAGAAACCGATAAATCTTATTTCAAAATAAAATGCTAAAATATATAAAAAAAATTCATTCACTATTGCAATTTGATCGACCACATGAGGCATACAACTAAAAATAACCCAATCATTTAAGCATACGCTAATGGCTCTTACGTCAGCATGATTTAAACAATTTCAAGATTGTGAAAGCTTAAAAATCAGACGGCCCAACATCTTTTTTTTCCCCGGAAAGACTTTTCCCACACACACTCTACTGTGGTATTATATTGGTTGGCAATGGAGACCACCTGTGCACTGTGGTCCACCGTCCACCCGATCCGGACCCACCCTCCCCCACCCATCCCACACAATTTTTGAGGGCCGCCGAGTAGGTCCCCGGACACGTGTCACTGTTTCATCCCGCCCAACCCACACTTCTTCTATGATCTTATCCCAACCGTCTATTTCTCCTAACCCCACCACCACCCTCCTCTCAAATTCCCCGCTCCCTCCTAAAATGCCTAACCCATCCAATCTCCCTAATCAAAATTCCTAGGGTTTGATCTTCTCCTTTCCCTTCCCCTTCCCTTCTCAGTCTCTCTTCCCCAGTTTTCTTGGCCTTTCCCACCCAACTCCAGGAAAAGAAAGATTGTGGTTCCTTTTCCCGGGAAACAAACACCCCTTTTTCACCCCGCCTCTCTTTTCTCGTTAATTTCCGCGAATTGGGTTTTTGTCCTGGAATGGGAATAATTTGAAGGACCGAACAAGAAAGAGCGGATAATGGAGGGGGATGATGAAGGCGGCTCGTCCGATATCAGCACCAGCGTCGGCGAGGTGTCCAAGATATCCACAATCGACGAATCCGAAGCTTACCAGGTTTTGTCTCTCAAAGAGGAGCCGATAGATCCGGACCGGGAAACCACTCCGCCGCCCTCTGCCGCCGCCATGGGGATGGTCCCCGTCGCGATGCAGATGCCCTTGTCCGTCCCCATGCCTATGCAGCAAGCAGCCGGCACGGTGGCGAAGCGGCGGTCGTCGACTAAGGACCGGCACACCAAGGTCGAAGGCCGGGGCCGCAGGATCCGAATACCCGCAACCTGCGCCGCTCGGATCTTCCAGCTGACCCGGGAGCTGGGCCACAAATCCGACGGGGAAACCGTGCGGTGGTTGCTCGAGCACGCGGAGCAGGCCATTATTGCCGCCACCGGGACCGGCACCGTCCCGGCGATTGCGGTCTCGGTCGGTGGGACCCTCAAAATCCCCACCACGACGACTTCCTCCTCCACGAACAACAGCTCGCTAATCGAGGCGCCGCCGCCGGCGAAGAAACGCAAGCGCCCTTGCAACTCCGAGTTCTGCGACCTCACCGAAGCGGCGGAGGCGGCGGCTGTATCTGTTTCCCAGACCTCAGGGCTGGCCCCGTTGACTCAGGCGATGGCGGTTCCGACGGCGGCGCAAGGGATGGTCCCCGTATGGGCAGTTGGGAGCACGGGAATGATGGTCCCAGCAAATGCTATTTGGATGATACCCCAGGCCCAGGCTGGCGTTGGGCCTGGTGGTCCTACCATTGGGCCGATGGGGAATCAGCAGCAGCAGGCTCAAATATGGGCCTTATCCCCCTCCATGACTCCCGTTTTCAACGTGGCAGCTGCAAATCCAGGAGCGGCCCCTCGGCCCATATCGTCCTACGTGGCGGCAACGGCAAATAGCCCTACAAATAGTCACTATTCAGCCGGCGGGATAGAAATGAGAGCTCCCCCGCCGGCGGTGATAACGAGCACGACGGTGGGGTCGAAGTTGGCTTCTAAGAGATCGTCGGCGATGGCGCCGAGTGCGAGTTCTAGCGTAGCGGGTAGCGGCGGCGGTGGAGGTGGGAAAGTTCGAAACCTTCGAGACTTCTCGTTGGAGATTTACGACAACAAGCAAGAATTGCAACTGATGGACGGACGCGGCGGTGGCGACGGCAGCGGGAGTAGTAATCAATCTCAGGGGCAAAGTTCAGCGGGATCATGATGGTGGATGGAGGTTTGTTTGTAGTAGTAGTAGCAGCAGCAGTAGAAGCAATTTAGGGAGAAAGATGGGCGTAGGGAGCTTTTATTTAAAAAAAAGTTTTCATTTTCTTGTTTTGTGATTAGTGTGCGCCTGTAACTTGAGGGGTACAAAAGGATGGGATATGTGTTCTTTCTTCAGGACTCTGTTTCCTTTCCATTGTGCCACTCAATATTAACTCTAGTTTCCGCCATTGATGGACCATGAAAACCCAAAACATGGCATTTTTCTTTGGACAACGAGCAATATCATCAAAACATTGAATCCCATGACTAGTTACTTACTAGCCAGTCCACCAGATCCTCTGCTTTGGACGACACCAAAATGTTGTTTCAATTCATAACCCAGGTTTGTGAAGCTCCACAGCCTATATATAAGAAGCAGACAGTAAATGAGCTCTCCAACTGAACCAAGAAATCCCCCGAAACATTTACTTCAGCAACCATGACCATCATCATCTTCCGGCGGTGGGTTTCAGTTCTGTATCCAATCTTGCTGGCATCAATTTTGGTGCATTATTGCCGGGGAAACTCCGACGAGAGGAAGGTTCATATCGTTTACATGGGAGAGCGGCCACACAGTCCCAGTGGAAATATGTCATCTTTGTTGGCAGTTCGTCACATTTCCCTGCTGGAACGTGTCCTTGGAAGGTGAAATTACTATTCAACACTCCAAAATCCAAATTTCTTTTTGGGTTTTCACCATTCTTTCTTCTTCCTCTCGTTTTATGTAACTAATATTAGCATGCTGTAATAAGTCAAGACTCAGAACAACACTTTGCTGCTTGTGAGTGCAGTGCTTCATTGGCCAAAGAGTCGTTGGTATACAGCTATGCAAGGAGCTTCAATGCGTTTGCCGCCAAATTATCACCTCAAGAAGTTGAAAAATTCTCGAGTGAAGATCCATATATAGCCACACAACATAAATTTACTTGAATCTTAATTGAAGCTAGGTGTCCTAATTTTGGAATTGTAAATGCAGAAATGAAGAGAGTGATCTCTGTGATCCCGAACCACAAACTCCATCTTCATACCACTCGTTCATGGGAATTCATGAACTTCTCCCCTGGCCAGATTAGTGCACAGAAAGAAGGAAATGTAATTATTGGCTTCCTTGATTCAGGTGTGTACCAGGACTTCTTTCTAGATATCGTGATAATATAGTCAATTAAATTCACGGGATACATCATTTCATTCTATTTATGTGGATTGCTAGGAATTTGGCCGGAATCCGAAAGCTTCAACGATGAGGGAATGACTCCGCCGCCGGCGAAATGGAAGGGAGAATGCCACAACATCACCTGCAACAACAAAATAATCGGCGCCCGATACTACAACACCGGTGGCATGTATGACCCCACAGAATTCAAGTCCCCAAGAGACGCGATGGGACACGGCACCCACACCTCTTCCACGGCAGCCGGAAGGGAGGTCGCCGGGGCGAGCTTTCTCGGCCTAGCCGAAGGAACTGCCACCGGTGGGGTCCCAAATGCCAGAATCGCGGTCTACAAAGTTTGCTGGCAGAATCGCGGATGTTCCAACGCCGACATCCTCGCCGCATTTGACGACGCCATAGCCGACGGAGTCGATATCTTGTCCATGTCGCTGGGTTCCAGCGTCCCACCTCCGTTCTTTGAGGACGCCATGGCTATCGGAGCTTTCCACGCCATGAAACGCGGCGTGTTGACCTCTGCCTCCTCTGGCAACTCGGGCCCTACGCCGGCCACTGCGTCCAATTTGGCGCCGTGGATGTTGACCGTGGCAGCTAGTACTATTGACCGTCAGTTCGTTTCCAAAGTCGTCCTTGGAAATGGAGAAACCTTCCCAGTAAGCTCCTTTCTCTTCCCTTCCTTCCAGTTCCTGGTCCATCTCATATTGCAGCTAACGTGTTTGTTTATTTGCCTGACTGAAACAGGGCATTGCAGTCAATAGCTTTAAGCTCAACGGAACTACATTTCCGTTGGTTTGGGCGGGAGATGTGGCCAATTACTCCGGCGGGTCGGGCGTAATCAACGCCAAGAATTGCCTGCCGGGCAGTCTCAATTCATATAAAACAGCAGGGAAGATAGTACTGTGTCACAGTATAGTTGGAGACGTCACTGGTGTGGCTATGGCCAATGGTTTAGGTGCTATCATGTTCAACCCAATTCCTTCTGTCAACGACTTTGCTTTCAGTTACCCTTTGCCCGCAACTCAAGTCAGGAGTGGAGATGGCGATGCCATTCTTGACTACATTAGAACAACAGAGTAATCTAACTTCAATGAACTCTGGATACTTTTTGCTAAATGGGTTGGTGTGTCATTAACTCACATTATAAAGTTTGATATACGTTAACAGGAACCCTATTGCAACTATACTCGTTAGCGAGACGTGGAAGGATGTTATGGCACCTTATGTTGCTTCCTTCTCTTCCAGAGGACCAAACCGTCTCAGCCCGGAGATTCTTAAGGTGAGCCTGACATGTTCAACTGGTCATATTTCATTGATCTAGTGCATTTTGTCAAGTTCTTGTACCCTAATTATATTCAAATTCGTTCGTGGTGGAGCAGCCAGATATAACTGTGCCTGGTGTCGATATTCTAGCTGCTTGGTCGCCAGTAGCATCGCCTTCTGGTTCACCATTCGACACCAGGAAGGTCAAGTACAATGTAATTTCGGGCACGTCAATGTCTTGCCCACACGCAAGTGCTGTTGCTGCCTATGTCAAGGCTCTCCACCCGGATTGGTCCCCGGCAGCAATCAAATCTGCAATCATGACCACAGGTATGGAACAACAAAGACCTTTGAATCCTTTTCGATTACTTGAAGTGCAAAATGACTCCTGCATTGAACTTGATTCTCCATATATGTTGGTCCATCTATGTCTTAGCCAATGTAATGGATCCAAGGAAGAATGAAGATCATGAGTTTGCCTATGGCTCCGGCCACATCAACCCAGTGGCTGCCGCTGATCCTGGACTCGTCTACGACGCTTCTGAAGACGATTATATCTATTTCCTCTGCAAGCAAGGTTACGACAACACCACGATGGAGCTGATCGCCGGTCGAAGTAACGCGTCTTGTAACGGGGTAGCGCTCGGGAGAGCTTGGGATTTGAACTATCCAACGTTTGGCCTGGTAGTGGAAGATGGTGAATCCATCAGCACTAGTTTCACCAGGACAGTGACGAATGTTGGCCCCCCGAATTCCACCTACCATGTCAGTGTACAAATGCCGAGTCTTGTGAATGTGGAAGTTCATCCGACGGTTCTGCCCTTCTCGGCGGTTGGGCAGAGTATGACGTTTACAGTGAAGGTCTCTGGTCCGAAGATTGTGGATCAACCGATCAGGTCGGGTGCCATTTTGTGGGGAGATGGAGTTCATGTGGTGAGAAGCCCGTTGGTTGTGTATACCATCACGCCAAATTCTATGGCGGCTTTGCCCTTCAAGCCGGCTGAGAAAATCAGATTTGGGGATCAACCTGGCCGACTGGAACATGAAATTGTAGAGACAAATTGATACTCACGTTTAACATTGTTAAGGGGCCTCTCATGTTGTGGAAGATAGTTTATCTTAGAAATCCATTGTCTTGAATTCAGATTTCTGCTCTACAAATTGAACACCTCCAAAATTGGATTTAGGCTTCTATCCTTTATTCTTTTGTTGTCAGTTTAGCATAGAGAAAAGTCATCCTCTAAAACACAAATGGTGATATCAAATTATGTTCCCTGTATCTGAAGTTGGAGTGAACGAGCAGGGCTGCTTCTTTTCATCTTCCTTTTTTTCTTCTTCTTCTCATTTCGTCTTTTTTAGTCTATGTTCCTTCCACTTTCGTGATTTGTTTGGGGACTCACCAGAATTTCCCCCTTCATTTCATCGTTTTTTGCCGTCTTTTAATCTTTTTCTTTCACTAAGTCGTTTCTTTCTCTTGTTCATTCCATCGAAGTTTCTTCTCCCTTGCTTGCAAGCTAGCTTCAACTTCCTTCAACTTCTGATTTCATCATTTTATCGGTTAGTTTTGGAAAAAAATTCTTTTGAGCAATGATTAGGTAGAGAGAAGTTCAAAATTGGATACAGAAGATATGGTTATCAGTATTATTCTCCATTCTTGGCTAAGCTAGGATGGAGAATACTGAAGAAGCACATCCACTTAAAGATCACCTTCAACTTGAGACAATTCTTCAATTCAAAAACAAGTCCTTCTCCAAGTATTCAAGAGATAGCCTGTCTCGCTCACAAGTCACAACTAATGCTATGTAAACTTACTTACACGGCCATGCACCCACCTCATTCTTTTGAAAAAAACACAATTATGGTTACAAAAAACATAATTATATTTTTGTTCACTACAAGAAACAATAGTTTTTGTGACAGAGAAATTCGTCGTTAAAACCTCAAATACAATTCTCTGTGACGATCTTATATTACTTGTCAATTGTCATCTACTATAATATTTTTTTTTTATAAATAATAGCATCCTAGAGCTCTCATTGGATAAAATAATTAAGTTTTTTAGTCTTTAAAATATTATAATTGTGTCTGATTGAAAATTACCAAATGAATTATTTTTAAAATTGAAAATTTGGACAATTTGGTTACACTTAAATGGTAAGAAGATAAAACGAGCAGATTGTAATGATTTTTTAATGTTTTATGAGTATTTTATGTGGTTTATGTTCTGCATACTAGTCATTCTAACTTATATTAATTACGTACAAAGCATCAAACAATGTACATGAATTGTGAATTCTTCACGAAAGTCTAATTTCTCTACGAAGATAAAATGGTTTTTGTTTCTTTAAGAATTTTATAAAAACAAAATAAAAATTACTAATTTTGACAATAGAAATCAAACTGCAATAAAAATGACTTAATCTAATGTAGCTCAATTAGATATTCATCGCTATCCACTGCAAAGTGTGAACCAATTATCTAGTTGATATATAAAATTCATGGTTGTGGGATTAGTAATTCGTCTAAAAAGACCAAATATATATGATTTTTTTTATTTTATTTACGTGATTCTTTAATTTGTATTTATTCCCAAACTTTTTTTTGATAATGATAATTGATTAGAAAAAATGAAAAAGGAGAAGATACAGAGTACAAAGTAAAGGGGATCAACAAGATTGATCACCAAGACAGGGAAAGAAAAAACACCCGAAAAGTACAGCAAGAAAGCAAACCTAGACCAAACCTCCGAAAGGGAGGAGGGACTCAAAGCTCGACAAGCGGACCAGACCGCTCCACCGAACTTAAGCACCATTATTGTTCCACGACGCCAAATATAATATAGTTTTGTGTTTATTTTTTTTAACCTAGGTGGTCTATTTATTATTTATTATTTATGTGTGTTTGTTGTGTTGAAA